GGTAGTAAAACTCAGTCGCCGACCGTCATCACGCAATATGATCCACACATGGTCGCCTTGTTTCAGTTCTCGTGCGGCGACGGTTCGTTGTTTGACCGAGTCAAGCTCGTGTGCGTGTGGCCGGACGACTCCGACAGTGCAAGACCACACCAGCGCCATCTGCGTAGATCTTGACCGACGCCGGCGTTACCTGCCGCGCGTCGATCGTTGATCTGGCCGCAACACGCCGACCGGTGATGACGTCACGTTTTGGAGAGCGACTGTCGTCCGTCGCGGCCAATGCCTGGCTCACACTAAAAAGGGAGCCGCGGAGCTGAACGGCACGCTGTCGCGACTGCTGTCCATCAGTGGTCTCCCGTGAACATGTCTGAACGTCCCCGCCCATAAATCGAAGGACGACACGTGTGGCGTTGCTCTCCTCGCATCAGTGCTTGGTCTGCGACGAGTGCCGGCTTCGGTGGCCCGCGAGGCTCAAACACACGTCCGGGTGACGTTGCGGCCACCCACCCTGCTTTCCCCATTCTCACTTTATCCTGCACCCTCGCGACGCCCCGCTTGTCCGTGGCGAGCTCCATGCACCAGCCATGAGTCGGCTAAAGTGCTCCCATGGTGGGCGCCGTCCAAGTGCCGAGCTGATACCCCGCAAAGGGTTCTTTAAACGGCCTGTGTCTCTCCGAATGGACCTCCAGGTGCATGCAGTTTGTGTTACCGTTATCCACTCCCCTTTATCCCGGAGCCTGAAAGTCACTGCTGGCTGAGGGGCTCTAAATCCAAATGGAACCAAAGAAACCACAAAAACAAAAGCGCTGCGGTAAAACCCAAGTGGGGTCACTGTCGCCTGACTCTGCCCAAAGCATATCAATATATCTACAATACGTAAATACCGCAAAATTACGGGAAATAGGTGAAGCGTACACAAATTCAAGGTTGGGCGCTCGTATCACGTTGATTCCGTGCTGGCTGTAGCAAGAGCCTGTGAATGTTGTGTACATCAAATTAATGCCAAATCCACTATTCTGAGTGCTCTCGCAAATATTTTGGGGAAAATTCCATCTATCGACAGTGCTCACATTTGTGTTGCATAGGATATATTTATTATCACTAGAGTACAAAACAAATCAGGCATCACCTGCATTTGGCGCTTGACCTAACCGCGTTCGTAAGTACAACCCAGTACGGAAAGCACAGTGTGACCCATGTCATCACCATTACTTGGTGAGAACACCATCCCAGGTTAACACGTAAGATTATAATAAACAGTAACATACAACAAAACCGATGCACGCCGAGTAACATACACGAAACATCAGCCCCCTGAAACATACTCGGGCATCCGGCTTGGAAGTTCCGTCCACGCGGACTGGGGACATCGGCTTTCTACGAATAATACTGGCAAGTAAAACTCAACAGCGCGTGCCCAGATTCGCCTGGGGTATTCAAAGGCGGGAACCTCATGGAAAGCTCTTAGCATGACGCCACAGAGGCACCCTCGTACCACGTTACGAACACAGGCAATTTGGAGCCACCGAACGCTGCAAACGAACACGATTCCTTCTATGGCGAGGCAATGTTCAGTGCCTGCGTCCTTGCCGATCGACCAGCGCTGCTAACCCCGCCGCCGCCGTCGCCCTCCAGATTATCACCACCTCTAACGCGCGGCGTGTCAGTGCTCGGATACGTCCGCTCGCTCGCCCACCGACGCCGTACCGTCCTCGGCCGACACCCTGTGCGCCGGCCGCGCGGCCGCAGCGGCGCCCGCCCGCGTCCGCACCGCGGCGGCTGCCCACGTGCTCCGGGGGCCGCTCGGCGCCGGTCGGCCAGGCCAGCCCGGTCGCAGCACCCCTCAGTCACCGCACGCCCGCCCGCACGACCTCACCTCGCCAAACCGGCCGACGTCTCGCGGCTTGGCCAGAGGGAGAGGGAAGAGGTCACGTCGGCTGGCGGCCGTCCTCCGCCATCTCCTCCTGCTGCTCCCGCGTCGGGCCCGGGCCCAGCAGCGGTCGCATGTGCACCTGCCAAGCCGATCGGTGACGTCACAGGTCAGGTCACGTCGCGTCTCATTTGGGTCAGCCCGGACGACACAAGCCTTACAGGTCGGGAAGGCACGGACTGGGGCGAGAGAACAGGCGAACATGCCCTTTGAAGCATGTGCAGGACAAATCACGATGCCACCTTTCTGTACATTACATTACACTAACAAATGCACGCTCCAAGCCAGCACAATTTGCATAAATAAAAAAGCCAATTTTCCGCAAACCTCGACAGTTTCACGTTGCCTCTCACTTGTATGAACACGCCGGTCTCGTCCGGCCGGGTCAGGAAGGGAAGTTGCCGCCTGTCTTGAGGTGCGCCAAGCGCGCGTGCGGGTAGCACTGCTCCGCCTCGGCGCGTGCCTGCTCCGTCAGCGCCGTGGCGTCGAGCGCCTGCAGCAGGGTGACGGGCAGGTGGCGCAGACGCTCGGCCTGCACCCGGCAGCCGGCGCTGCTCAGGGTCAGCCGCGACGCCAGCTCAGCCTGGCTGAGCTGCGACAGCTGCGCGGCAGAGGACCGCCGGGTCAGGGCCAGCACAGCGGTACAGCGTCAGGGGCAGCACAGGGGTACAGCGTCAGGGCCAGCACAGAGGTACAGCGTCAGGGCCAGCACACAGGGGTACAGCGTCAGGGGCAGCGCAGGGACATAACGTCGAGGGCGGCAGACACAGCGTCGAGGACGGCAGACACAGCGTCGAGAACGGCGGCGGGGCGCCAGCGTTGGGGACGGCAGGGGGACACAACGTCAGGGGCAGCAGAAGGAAAATAAGTCAGGGACAGCGGGAGGACGGCGGGGATAAAAAGTCAGGGACAACAGGAAGACGACGGGGACAAGGAGTTAGGGCTGCGGGAGGACGGCAGAGACAAGGAGTCATGGACAACGGGAGGACGGCAGGGACAAGGAGTCAGGGACAACGGGAGGACGGCAGACAGAGACAAGGAGCGTGGGACAGCGGGAGGACGGCAGGGACAAGGAGTCAGGGGCGGCGAAAGGACAGCAGACGTCAGAGGCAGGGGGGGGGGGCAGCGATCCACGTGGTGCCACATAATTCGTGCCATCACATTCGGTAGCAAATGCTGGCGACGCACCACACGCAGCTACAGTGGCACGCGGACACGTGCTGCTCGATCAGCGCCAGGCCCTAGCGCCCATCTCCTTGCCTGATCCACCATGAAGTCGAAGGAGTCGGCGATGTCGGGACGCAGACATTCGTGGCTGGGAAAACCCTGCAGCACCATGTTCTTCAGCACCAGGCCGGGCACCAGCCAGTAGCTGTGGGACACCATCCGCCGTCAGAGCACCCACGTCTCGACAACTGCTCCCACACACAGACTGCCGCCGCTCACAAGCGCAGGCTGCCCACGCGCCAGCCGTCCTCAGAACACTCCAGGAGGGAGGCTTTGACGGTGGAGAGACGCGCGCTACGGTGCCCGATGGCGGACGGTCTTCAGGACTTGCCTCACCTGGAGAACGCTTCCGCTGAGCACGCGCATAGTGAAATCGAGCCTCATGACCATTGGAAGCTTTATGGCACTGGTCCATTCTGTCTCAGTGTCATGTGATATGTTACGCAGCGTGTACTCGCCCGCAACGACGACGGCGTTCTCTCGGCATACGTGTCTCGAGACCAGAGAGCGTCAACTGTTTATTATACTGTTACTTATCATACTGACAGTTTGACAGTTATACAACTGTTTATTCTTTTAAAGATGGCTTGCTGCGATACCAAGTACGAGGTTGTCGAAGCTACGTCAGGTTGGATTGCATCAAGGCTAACATTCGGCAGTTTTATTATTGCTGACCTTTATCACTAAGCCAGATACTCTGATATCAAACCGCCTGTGTGCGGCCCTCTTACTGGCGGTTCGGGATAAACAGATTATCAATCTTTCACATAGATTATTACTCTTTTGAACAGATTATTAATCTTTTTAATGTCACAGGTCATGTACGCACTCAGCTTATCAAAGCATTCCGAGTCAAAGCAGGAACCACAAGATCGGGCAGGAATCAAACATGATTGTCAATGACTCTGCTTCATGTGATGGGGAAAGAGTGGACCCAGGACTCAGACCGACCACACCAGAACGCGAACTCAGACCCAAAGCCATGCTCGCTCACAATCACGACCCGAACGACCCCGCGCTCCAACCACAAGACCAGGCCCCTACAGCGCGAGCTATCTCCGAGCCCCCGTGCTCAACTCCCGTGACGAGGGCACTCACAAAGGCGAGACGGCCGTCTTCTTGTAGATGCGCGTGTCGACGAACGCCTGCAGAGCAGGCAGCGAAGCAACTCGGGGACAGCGGCGCGTCTCTTCGGCGGCAACTTCGGTGCCAAGACGCGCCCAGAAATGAGCCGAACAGGTGCACCCGTCCAGGCCGAGCTCGTCCAGAATCGCCGGAAACCCTCACAGAACTCGTTGCACTGTCCATACACCGGGTACGACACCTGGTGAGAGGGAGGGATTCATTAGTCAGCACGTGGTCAATTCCGGTCCAACGAGAAGTGCGGCGGCACGGTTAACACAAGCGCACAGTCCATTCCATTACCATGAGTAGCGGCATGACGCGTTCGCCAACCCTTCCGATGAGGCATTTAGGATGCAGTGGGTCAGGCCGGACAAAACAAACTTTTCAACACAGAGGTGCTACTTGACAAGGCAAAACCTGGATACAATGCTACCAGACAGGATAGGTGACAGACTTTGAATACAAGCAATGATACAAATCACACTTGCCTTGACTTCAGTGAGAACATGAGAATGATACCCAGACAAACATACGGTACAGAGTACACCCAGTCCATGTGGCTAAGCAAAAGCACATGATTGAACCTGAATGACAGCAGTCGGGATCAGCTAATTGGACCCTCTTTGTTCTCCGTGCGGCGGCACGGTTTCTTCTCCGTGCACCGGCCGTCTTCTCCAGCTGCCGGCTGAGAGAGACGGCCGTGGGCAGTCGGCGGCGGCGACTCACGGAGAGAGCACGCGGAAGCCGCGGCTGGATAGGCTCAGCAGCCTGGCGGAAGTAGACGTCAGCTGTGCCACTCAGCGGTGGCAGGAAAGACGATGGGGCAGGCGTCAGAGCGCGACCCACATCATACAGCCTCCACACCTGATGGCAGATGCCACACACTCATATAGTCAGATGATGGCAGGGAAGATGGTGGGGCAGGTGTCAGAACATGGTCCCACATCATACAGCCTTCATATCTAAGTGGCAAAACACATCACACAGACACAGAAAGTAAGATGTCTGCAGTAACTGACTGAGTGGTTTATCATTTTTGATTGGCCTAATGAAAGTAAAGACTAATAATACTGAACTTCACAACATGACACAATGGGATTGCTTAATCAAATGTTAATATGCAAAACATTCCCGGTACTCTGCCTGCAAAAATATCCAATGCAATGACGGTCGCATACACAGTGGAGTCAAAACAATCATAGTTGTGCAACTGACACTGCAGCATACCTTGCTGTCATCATAATCCACAACAACACTTTTAAGTGGCACTGAGCTTCTGAAGGCCAGGTACTCTTCACTTTTGGATATATTGCTTTGCATGGTTATTTTCAGAGAAACGTGAATCCACCATATGACACACCAATCAAGTCAAATACTATGTTCTAGGAGCTGGGTTTTACTGCCACCTAGACCACACACATCCTGAAAGGAAAAGACAAACTGTTAACAACTTGAATACTTTATGTAAATTATACCTGAATACCACAGATAAATATCATATATTACTGATATCGATATCCTGACAAAGTTCTAACAACCCTACACAGCTGTCATCTCAAAATAAAGCAGGGTAAAAAATGAATAACAAAATTGTGACTATGGCTGAAATTACACACCAAAATAGCCATTAAACCATGCCAGTTATAGCAAATTTTCCATGAGCCTTGATGATAACTCAGGCTTCATAGCCCACAGACTACATTGGACAAATAATCTGTGATTCTTGATGAACAGATTGAGAACTATGCACCATGCTCACTTTATTTACCACAGAGTGATTCAAGAGACATTTTTGCATGAAGACCACAGCAATGCCAGAAATTTGAATTTCAACTGCAATGTAAGGTATGATCACTCTGGTTCATAGTGATGTTAGTTCTATCCTTTCTGTCACATTCATCTGAGGAGGCCATCCATTCAGGCAATGGCACCAGAGGCTCTTTCTAACCAATTGTAGTTTTTAAAACATAATTTTGCATGCTAGTAGAACCAAGCAACATTCAATTTTTTCCAGGCTTAAATAGTTAAGAGGAATTATCCATACTAAACATCGACCAGACTGGAAAGTGCCATGGGATGGAAATTAAATAGAAATTTTAAAAACTGTGCACCAAACATGTCAGCAAAGCTGCAACATTGCAAGAGAACATTTGAGTGCATGTACATGACAAACCAGACTGTGAAAAGTTTCACACATAGCCATTTCTAATTTCAACACATACAAAGGCAATGTTTGAGCAAATTATGATGTAAAAATAATTTTGGGCAGTTTTAGAAAAAAACTCATCCTCTCAAAAAGATAGGCCTAAATGTAATTACATCCCTTTATGCTTAGTGCCTTGCTGTCATTACAGTTCAGCACTGTTATCACAGCCAATTTTATGTGAAAATAAATTGAAAATAATACAAAACAGCAGAAACACAACTCAATGCTGTCCCCTCTGAAGCTGCAGAAAAGTGAGCTCCTTGCATCTTAATGATTTACGCGTCACAGACACCTTTGAGGGCAACATGTAGAATATCCCTGTGCACGCATTGGCATGCTATAGTCCAGTTCACCTAACAACCATCACGGATCGATACCGCCCCCGCAGGCCTGGAAGGTCGGGTACCATAACGGCGCTCCACCGCCCTGTGTGTACCATTGCCCTGACCAAGGGAGTCTTTAGCGCCGTCCACCGCCAGGCGGCGGGCGGCCGCCGACCGTTCGCCCGGCAATGCGGCGGCAGGGTGCACCCCGAGCAGGCGTGGAAGCGGCTGGCGGCTGGCTGGTAGATAACTACCAAGTCTAACAACGGATCTCCCAGAAGATTGGACCAACCAAACTTTCACAAACGTAGCACGTGTGAACGTGTGTGAAAATGGCAGAGCTGTAGCGACCGTCTCATCGCTTTCGGGTCCATTCTCACCAATGAGGCAGCGCCACTTAGGCTGGGTTGCTCCAAGTCCAGTAAAGAACCTTCCTGCACATGGGACGCCAGAACGGCCAAAACGGCACAAACATGATACGTGCGCACGCAAGGGACACATAGAGACATGTATCGACCATTCTATCGCATTGGGGATTGAAGATGCCGTTGTACAAGCTGCCTCGGTGGCTGGCGGTAGCAAGACCGACCAAAACCGTACAAACGTGGTACGTGTGACAGATGGAGACATGTGCTGACCACTCTGTTATTTCGGTGATACAACATGTCATTGTCAAAGCCATCCAACATAAAACGGTCTGGATACGCTCGGAAAACCGTCCACAATCAGTAAACGAGACTTTTCCGGCGATCATATCGAATGATCTTACTACGATGTTTCATCTGAACTATACCCAGTTGCACACTTGTTGCAAAGCCACAATACCACGTGGGCCTGAAATGGTAAGACATCTTTTCCGTAATGGTCGCATTGGGTGATTAAAATATTAATCCTTGACGTAGGGAAAGCCAATTCAAATGGCTGAATTGCGGGAATAGTCAGATGTTGGCGTGGGCCATGTCAACCTCCAGGCTGTTCTCCCGCAATTATGATGTTGATAAGTCCCGCCCCTGTGGCTAGCTAGCTAGGCTCGTGGCCACAGGCTAAGCTAGCTAGGCTGATGGCTTGCCAGCGAGCCCGAGTGTCAGCTGGCGGTGACTGGCCGAACGTGCCGTCTGGGTGAGCGATGCGCCGGCGTCGGTGCGTCAGGGACCGAAAAGGCCTCCCCACACACGTACCCGTGGTAGGTCACAAACGCTTTGATCAGGCACTGTCAGATCGTAGCCGAAACGGTGCTGATGATTCACAGTTCCCGCGGCGCAGGAACATATGTGGAGCTTCTCTGTCAATTTTACACATATGAAATGCTGGCATACAACCAACGTTTCACCATAGCAGGACTTAAATCAACCATTCGTTCGCTGCGTACTGTTGCCGAGAGTCATGGCCTAATACACAATGATATGATGCGCCGCGTTCCCAGCTGTCCCTGCGAGCACTACTGTCAGTATCTAATCGTTTGTAGGAGTGAGGCAGCTTTCCTCCATTATGGCGGGAGGCGACAGTTGTGCCAGTACTTTAACCTGGAAAAAGTGGAGCTGACCCTTTCGACTATCGACCAGCTACCCCCACACCATGCCTGTGCGAGGCCATGAAGAGGATGGTTAATGAGCGTCCTTCCTGGATTTTGGAGAGTCAAAGTTTTTTTTCTAACGAGCAGTGTGGTTTTCGTAAAAAAGCAGAGCCACGGCCGACCACATTATAACTGGGCATCGTGTGCGGGCTGAGTTCACGCGAAACCGTCACACGGGGCTTCATTGACATAGCGAAAGTATATGACACGAGGTGGAAGCATGATACTTTGACGAAGTTAGTCGACTGTGGTGTTTGAGACGTCGTAGGCATTTTCTTATAAAACTTCTGAACTGACCGATTTTTGAGGTTGGTGTGAACTCTCATTTTTCAAACAGATATCCACAGGAAAACTGTGTGTCCAAGGCACTGCATTAAGTGTAGCGGTGGACCATGTCCCGGATCAGTTTGTCAGCATGTAAGGCGAATGGGGCAATAACTCATGTCAGGGTGAGGAGAACAATCACGGCTCGAGGTGGTGCGTCACGGTGGCGCCGGCCAGTCGCACGCAGATCGTGTTGCGGGTATGAGCCTTGGAAAGAGTATAAGAGGTGCTGCTCGGGCGCGTGGAGTGGGTCTCTCTCTGTCGGCGTCAAGTGCGGCAGTTCGCCGGTGTGTGTGGGGCGGTCCAACCAGATGTGACCACCGAATAGAAGCTATTTCGGCCAGAATGCCTGAGACCCCGGCAGCGGCTGCAGGCGGTGTGACGACGTCCATCACGGCTGGTGGCGCGACGACACCAGCGTCAGCCAGCGGGAGCGCCAGCGCCAGCGGGAGCAGGGCCGTCACGCAGGATGGAGGCGGGCCGTTTGACGTCCGGCTCATCCCGGCGTACGATGGATCGTCGCGCTGGACCTAGCGAGCGTTCTCGCACGGGCACGGGCCGTGCTCAGCGATGAACGCGTCGCTGTGGCAGCGGCCGTGGCGCGTGCAGGGGCACCTCGTCACCTGTTCTCCATGTCTGTATCTACGATGGCACCTCTGACTCGATCAAACGCCACTGAACACGATTCAGAATGCTACACTCCTTTCCGCTGCAGAAGCTTTCCACCGACATAAAGTCATCTAATGAAGGCGCATGAGCCCCACTAGCAATGCGCCGGCAAATCCTGGGTCTGCGCTATGTGTGCAGGCTGTCGCAGCTCCCTGGCCATCCCAACTAGCAAGCAGTTTTTTGCGTGGCATGTTAAAGCTTGTTCAACAGCGTCGTTCACGAAAAACTTCACCGTTCTGCGTACGCATTTGAGATCTTCTAGACGAGAGTGGTTTGGTCTTTAGGCGCGTGGTTAGGTCTAGCCTTATGCAGACCCCTCTTTGGGAGCTCACTTCATCGAGAGTTGATATATCACTAATAAACATGCGGAAGTGTAGGGACATCGCGACCGAATTCAAAAGTAAAGCCTTGGAACATATAGCTTACTCTGGCGGATGTGTGATAATTTACACAGATGGCCCCAAAATGGATGCAGGTGTAGGCTGCGCTTTTGTCTGGGCCGTAACACGCTCATTCACGTTGCCTACCCATTCATCCGTCTGCACATCCGAGCTCACTGCTATGATCAAAGCCCTCAGTTTTTAAAAAGTGGACACTGTCGTACCCTCCAGGGACAGCAGTGGAGTAGAGGAATATTAAAAGAGAGTTGATGAGGGCGACTGTGCCGTTACATCTAGGCACACACGCAACATAACCTCACTCACCGCTCGCTAGCCAATAGGAGAGCTTTACCGGGCCCTGGCACCCTTGGCGCGGTCGGTCGACCAGCGCCTCAGGAAGCGGAAGCACAGCGCACAGCGCCAGGCGGCGGCCCGGCGGCTGCCCGCACGTCCCGGCAGGCCAGCCGGGCAGGAACACATCAGATAGCAATGATTTACGTCTGATACCTTTCGACCCATTGAGCAGCCTTCTATCCCTCTGTGGTCCGCGCTTGGCCCACCCTCTTGTTCAAGATGTTCTCTCGTGTCTTACCTTACTGGATCGAGCTGGAACAAAGGTGTGCTGTTTGTGTGGGTGGGTGTCTTGTGCTGGATCTTTATCGTGTGGGGATCTCTGGAAATGGATCTCGCCGATGCAGCGCCAAGCGTGCTACGGAAAGAAGGTGCGTACCCGTTACAGCGTTACCTGCAAACGGCATGTACCCAGCCTTTTCGTGATTTATGCAGGAGCGATAGCACAACCACTGGGAATCGATCAGCAGCAAGCTAAAGGTCATTAGGTCTCGGATCGGACTGTGACAGTCGTGTTTCGGTAAAGACAGGAGAGAGGAAGTGGCTCTTTGGCACCTACGTATATGACATACTTATGCCACACATCGCCACCTGCCACTTGCTGATGTGCCCCCCCCCCCCCCCCCCCGTGTCCCGATGCTGTGGTCCACTAACTGTGCACCGCGTGTTGCTCGCCTGTCGTGACCTAGGTGGAACGCAAGTGCCGTTCTTTGGCCGGAACGCCTCGTACCTTACACTGCCCGACATTTTGGGTAACGGCGCTCAGGCTGTCGGAACTGGAAAGCTTCTTCAGTTTTTTTTCTGAGGTAGGCTTTACTGTAATGTTTTCTCTACGGCAGCCGATTCTCAGTCACTTACGTCAACGGTGTTTGTGTTTAAAAAAAAAAAACATGTTTGAATTGCGACTGTGCCTCGTAATGAGAAAGTTATGAGCGCAAGATGACCATTTGCCGGCGATGCGCCCTAAAACTCCAACTCGTCATCATCATCGTCTGGGCTGGTTATATGTGTCCCAGCTGGACATACACATGTGAGTCCCAGCTGAACATGTCCACGTGGATTGCAACTGGCCCATGTGGGCCATAGTTAGTCTCCACGTAGACCTCAGCTGGGCCACCCATGTGGGACCCAGTTGGCTATGCCTACGTGGGTCCCAACTGGGGAGCCCAGGCAGGCCCCAGGTGGGCTGCCCATGTGAAGCCCAGTTGGTTGCCCATGACATGCCCACATGGGACCTAAGTGAGCAACCCTGATGGGCCCCATATGACTGTTTATCTCGGACGATCATGGATCCCAGTTGGAAATGCTGGCTGGGAAAACGGGAACCAGAAGCTACCGCGCGATCAGTTCTGTTTGTATTTTAAAGTTGGTAAACTGCAGAAATCAGGCGTTAAACGACTGCATGGAATAATCACCAGTGCTGTTCATTATTGAAATAGCTCAGTGGACCCCCTTTCTAAGCCGATGAAATTCAGAAGCGTTGTCAGATTTCTTATCTTGGTTCTACCGATTTCGCGAAGATAAATTGTAGATTAAAATAGGTCAACAATGTGTATCAGCTTGGTCAAGTCATGTTTGTATGGAAACGTTCAACATTCAGTCAGAGTCGATCGATGATATGAACCATATAACGTAGTTTTGAAGAAGCGCGTTCGCAAATCTTTGCAACAAAAACCTCGACACCAGGAGTTACAGTCTCCATAGCCACGCAGCGTCGCCTCAGGCGCTTACATTGAGCCGTGGCCAACAGGTGGACGAAAATGATGACGCTTCTAAAAGAAGTACCTTTGAACGCTTTGGGATATTGAATC